CGCAAGCAGTATCAGTTGGTCGAAGAGAGCGACAATGTTGGAGCGTGGCTGGTGAATAGTGAAGACGACAGTTCGGTTGTAGTTCTTGACCAGGTTGACAAGGCACTCGACGACGTTGAAAGCATTGTAGGCGTCCAGGCCACTTGTGGGCTCATCCAAGAAGAGGATGCTGGGCGAGGTGACAAGTTCGCAGGCAATACCGACACGACGCTTCTCACCACCGGAAATTCCGCGACCGCTTTCCTCAGAGCCAATCTTCTGGTTGCGAATGTGGTAGATACCGAGTTGACGTTCGACGTCTTCTACCTTTTGCTCCTTGGAAATGCGACTCATTTCTTTGGGCAGGCGCAACAATGCAGAGTCGAGAATCGTCTCGTGAACAGTCAAGGTAGGCAAAAGGGTGTCTTCCTGGTCGACGAAACCAATGACGCTCCTGAACTCGTCATCGCGGACCTTCTCGCCATTGATATAGAAATCGCCACTGTCGGTTCCAATCTTCTTCTTGCGGGCCAAAATATCAAGGAAGGTAGTCTTTCCAGCACCAGAGGCACCCATGATAGCCAAGAGCTCTCCGGGGTGGACAGCACCAGAGATGCCAGACAGAATCTGCTTTCCTTTCAGGTTGTAGGCGACGTTCTCGAAGAGGAAGGAAGCTGGCTTGTGGTCGGCGAGCAATTTCGCATCCTCGTCCTCCTCATCGTCCGACAGGTGGATGGGACCGTATCGATGGCTCTCAGCGCGGTGGGTAATGTACCAGATGGCTAAGATAGCCGCCACGATGAATAGTGCGATCCCTGCAATGACACCAGCGATCAAGGGAGTGTTGATCTTCTTGATGGGTCTCTCGTAGCCTGGCACTTCAGTCTGGTATAGACACTCGCCCGTGTCGCATTGTAGGAAGATGCTTTCGTCGCCGAAAATGCTCGAGATGAGGTCGTTCATGGCAGGTTCTGAGAAAATGCTTCCGCTGTCTTTGCTGTTGATAGCTGAGATGCCTCTGAACTCAGCAGGACCCTTGATGGACTCCTTCAAGAAGTCGCCAATGTCGACGGAGCCATCTTCTCCACAGAGCATCCTGTCAGGGACACATTCGCACTTGATGTTCTCGCAGCGGTATTTCGTGATGTTGCGGTCGGATTCGGCGGTGAAGTGGGAGGAGCACGTGTCGAGGGCGCAGTAGAAGGATTCCCTTTGGTCGACCCAGACTGCGATGATTAGCTGTGAATGAAGGGTGGAGGGTGTGGAGCTTACATTGGAAGTTGCATTCCTCCGACTCGGCATTGCAAGAGAAGGTCGCCTGCGGTTTCTTGTCCTTCAACGTGTCGAGGATCTTTCTGTTGGTAATGTCGCAGATCTGGAAGTTCTCCTTGACCAGCTGGCCGTCCTTGTAGCAGACGCCGCCCTCTCCATCCGGCATCATGGCGTTGCAGGCATCGTTGGTTTGGCAGACGTTGCAGTTGATGCCAGACCAGCCCTCTGAGCATTCGCACTCCTTTGCGCCTCCGCGTGGTGAGCGGTTCTTGCCATCGGGCAGGGCGCCGCAGAGGGGCTCTGAGCAGTCCTCGCCTCCAAATCCGGGTCCACAGTTACATCTCCCGTTCGCTTTGCTGCAGTCGGCAAACTGTTTGCACTTGAAGTCTTCCAGGTTGCAGTTGAAGCATGGCGGACAGCCATCGGGTCGGTCGCCGTAGATGGAGAAAAGATCCTGTGGCGAGTCGGCGAGGGTGTAGTTGGCGAACGTCTTGTGGGCGGTCGCCGTCGATGCCAGGCCCAGCAAGGCGGCGAGCGACGTCGCCCAGGTCTGTTGGCGCATCGCGTCTTGTTTGCGGCGCGGGACGAGCTATGTATGCGATAGCTATCTAGGTTGTCGTGTGCCTGCTTCTTTCGAGAGTAACGTGACGAGACGGAAGGTGACTGTCAAAGTCAAAGGAACGGCAAGAGCTGGGCAGCTCGCGATGGTGACGAGGGACAACAGGTAGCAACGGGTGGCCAGATGATGGCAGTGCTGCTATCATCGGCCTGCGGCGACGCTGATTCGTGGAGGCTGGGCTGTCTCCAGCCAAGCACCATGGCGGACCGCTAGACCGAGGCACACGCCAACAGGTGATGCAGGCAACATGGTCTTCGTCATCATCGATATCTGGCACAACATGCAGAAGAGCATTCAAGGATATGCATCACGCGACTAGCAGCCTCGTCTCTAGCAACGCGACGATCAACGTGATCGCGCGCCATCAGCGGCGACGCGCTCTTGCCAGCCCAACCTAGCCGTCGGAGCGCTCTAGCAACTAGCTCGCCCGCTTCAGCGGAACCTCGAGAGGCCATCATGTGCGCCCTATGTCAATCCCCAGAGCCACCTTGAGACATAAAGACTATCTCGTCTAAAACCTCTCTGCGCTCTTCCGCCCGTCACAGATCTCCTTTTATCTCACAAGCCAGAATGGTCAAAATTGAAGAATTCGCCGTCGAGTCCGTATGTCATTCCCCGCATCTCGCACTCCACGTGGGGAAATGACTAACATGCCCAGTGGATGGATGCGTACGAGACAAAATGCAAGTACAACATCGCCGAGACGTGTTGCGCCTCAATTTCCGTCGATCAGCTACGCGAGCTGTCAGAGAACAAAGATCAGCCGGTTTTCGACACCTCGCGTGTCCTGAATTACGGGGCCATCAGAGGAAGTGACGACCTGCGCAACAACTTGGCAAGACTATATTCTGCCAAGGTCACAAACCCCCTCTCTCCAGAAAGCATCCTCATCACTCCTGGCGCCATCCAAGCAAACTACCTGACTGCATACTCCCTCGTCGGACCGGGAGACCATGTCATCTGTCACTACCCCACCTACCAGTCCCTCTACGAAGTGCCCAAGCAACTGGGCGCCGAAGTCGACCTATGGAAAGCAACGCCAGAGAACAAATGGGTACCAACCATCGACGAGCTGAAGACGCTCATCAAGCCCAACACCAAGCTCATCATCATCAACAACCCCAACAACCCCACTGGAGCCATCCTAGGCAAGACCTTCCTCCAAGAACTCATCGACATCGCGACCGAAAAGGACATCACCATCATGAGCGACGAAGTCTACCGCCCGTTATTCCACTCCATCATCCCAATAGACAAAGAATTCCCACCCTCCCTCCTATCCATGGGCTACAAGAACGTCATCGTCACAGGTTCCATGTCAAAAGCCTACTCGCTCGCAGGCATCCGCATCGGCTGGATAGCATCTCGCAGCTTTGAAATCATTGAAAAGATCGCTTCAGCACGGCACTACACCACAATTTCCGTGTCCTACTTCGACGAAGCCATCGCCGCCTACGCTCTCCACTCATCCACAGTACACAGCTTGCTAGCTCGCAACATCCAACTCGCGAGAACCAACCTGGCTCTTCTGGAGAAGTTCCAACTCAAGAACGAGGATGAGTGCGAGTGGGTGAAGCCTGTGGCTGGTACTACGGCTTTCGTCAAGTTTCACCGTGAAGGCAAGGCAGTGGACTCTGTGGACTTTTGCAAGAAGTTACTGGAGGCTACGGGCGTCATGTTCGTGCCTGGCAGTACTTGTTTTGGTAAAGAGTTCAAGGGATACGTCAGGATTGGGTTTGTTAATCAGACGGACGTTATTAAGGAGGGGTTGGATGCCGTGACGAAGTTTATACGGAAGAATCTTGATGAGGTGGAGTTGGCAGAGTAAAGTAGTGTATGGTCAGTAGGAAATGTTTACATCAAATGCATACAGTTTGCAGATCGCAGGTCGGTCCGATACAGTCACAGCCACAGCGCCACACTAGCCACAACGTCGGGGGCGGCTAGTGGACTCAGCCCTGTAGACGCCTTGCGCCCGTCTCACAGATAGTGAGATTTCACAGCCACAACCAGTGATCAACAACTTATACCCTACCGATATTGAGTAGATAGTAAGCGCTGTGATACAATAAAACCTGTTCTCCTCTCATCCCACCATATACCCTCCCTACTGTCCCCATCACTGCATCTCCGCACTTCTCCCCTTCAACTACACACGTATCGTTCCCACAATGACAGACCCATCCAAACTTCAAGTCCCAGAAATGTCCACCGAGAAGAAAGATCCTACCACACCCCTCGTAAACGTAACAAGCGCATCCACAACCTCAACCTCAACCTCAACATCCACAACCACATCCAGCTCAAAACCCCCCACATCAACACCAGAACGTCCCTCCTCTTCACATTCCTGGCGTTCAAAACTGCATATTCATTCCGGTTCCCGCCGTTCCAAATCCGTTGAACCAGGCAAAGAGCGCTGGCGTGATGCGACGCTGCCTGAGAAGGAGCGATGGAAGGATTGGCAGAAGGCTAAGGATAAGGAGCAGTTGCAAGGGTATGTGATTACGACTGGTGAAATTCGTGGCATCTGCTAACATAGAGGATGGTAGGTCGGCAGTAGGTGCGTTCACGCAGTTTTACAAGGGGAAGGGGAGTACGGGGTATTGGTTGGACGTGGGATTCTGAGCGTCGTTGGTCTTGGACTGGAAGGTTGTAGTCTTGTATCTCAAACTTCGAAATCAAGGTTTTGGGAGCTTCATGGAATCATTTCGCCGAGCGTTGATAACTCGCTCCGAGTTCTTCTATCCCTTTTCATTACATGCTGCTGATAATTTAAAGAGGAAGAAAGCAGTGGGGGTATCATAACATGCGCTGGTGGGCTTGACATCTAAAAGGAACGCAGTACAAAGGGAAAGGCGTGTGTCTGATGTTGCCAGCCCGAAACACCCCGATATGTGAGCTTGTTGACCGATGTACGTGATTGGGACGGGATGTAGGATGTTGATCGTTCTCGTGACATTGAAAGGTTCCACCGGCGTATACGTTGGATTGGTGAGCTAATCGTGGGTGGAAGTCAAGTGAGCCAAGTTGATTTAACCTTTCCTCGTCGCACGAAGCCGATCGTGGAACTCTGACCTAGCCTGGATTGTTGTTGGCATACGACATCGTAGCCGCAACAGGCCCGTACCTAGCATCTGGGTGATCTGACGGCTTTTGTACGGCTGGTCCTTGTATCTACCGACGGAGACATATCCCAGGTGCTGGTATCACCTTGCCTGAGCATTATGATGTCTTGGTGAGAGGGCGAGTCTGGTAGACTGAGAAAACTCTTGCTTGCTTCGATGAAGGCGACGTCGACTGGGGCGGCGAAGTTGGTACCCTTCCTTGAGCTGCTATGGCTGTGTGTAGCTATGACTGTTCTGGGCGTGTTCTCCTTCGGCTTGCTTTTAAGGAAGACCGGACCTCCAGAGTTGCCTATGTTTTTTTGTTAGTATTCTTGAGATGTTGTCAGGCGCTTTGAATGTGATACTTACCAGGCATAGTCGAAAGTTTGTACTCCAGCAAATTCCGGGCATTGTGTTTAGCCTGACCCGCCACTTCGTACATGCATCCAGCCTTCTTGCAACGTGTACAGGACCCGCGGACTTGTGTTGTATTTTCGCCGGGATAGCCAACGACGAGCACAGTTGACTCTGCGGATGATGGCGCCTGATACAAAGCTGGCTTGACCTGGGTGAACTTGGTCTCGAGCTCGATAAGAGCCATGTCGTTGTGCCAAGCGAATCCGGACAGTTTCCATTGTTGCGGCACTATGACTCTTTTGCCGACACGCTCCTCGACCGCAATTCCCTTCGAGGAGTCTTGATGGTGGTATCCAATGTACACCCTGATAGAGATAGCCTGAGAAACATAGTCCTCTCCACCACGGTATTGCACATTGTGGGCAGAGGTAAGGACTAGATCGGGTTCGATAAGAACTCCAGAAGCACCGAACTTGCCATCATCCCGGTCTCGTATCTTGAGCTTGGTGACGCCTATAACAGCTCATCAGCCATGTTACAAAATCAACGGCTCTAGTCACTTACATCTGTAGTTCCCGTCTGCATATTCGTACAGGGTGTCGTCTACATGGAATCGGTAGTTTCCCTTCACCAATGCCTCACACTCTTGACCTTCTGAGGTGAGCTTCAAGACCAACAAGCCCCTCGAGTCCATGGGCGTGGTGTTGTCCGGTTTTTTGGGTGGGCCGCCTCCACGGACCTTGGTGCCCGTTGGGCTCGAGTGCGATACGGAGCGAGACATTTGCGTGGACGGTGAGCGAGCACTACGGTGTATGACGTCAGTCGAGGACGATTGAGGAGAAAGCACAGAGAGGGAGAACGGGAAGAAGCGCAACGCTTTATATGAGAGAGGTGCCCCCCGCCGGTACTCGGTGGTGTCGTTTGATGTGGACAGGTCGGATTGTCAGTGTAGCGTTGGGCAGTTGCGAGACCGGACGAGGACGCTCAATATGGGACGACTTGAGTCACTCATATCTCGAGGAAGGGCATTGGTCACTCGACGGACCACGTAGGCACTGCAAAGTATGCCCAGGATGAGGGTAACTTCTTTCGGTCGTCCAGTGCGATGCTCCCAGTGCGAAAGTTGGAGTTGTTTGGTAAGTCGGTTCGACGGTTCGGCTACCTGTTCAGTGTTGTTCAGTGCTCCATAGATCATAAGACAAAGATCTACATCAGTCGGCGTTGGGGCTGTGATTTTGCGCAGGGGGCTGACCCCTGTCCTAGATCTCCCATTCGTTCCAAGACTGTATGCAGTCATACTGCAGGCTGGTCAGCTGGTAAACCTTGGACGCAAGAATCTGTCTAAGCCCTGTGAGTAAATCTAGACCAGAGCACAGACGCGAGTGCCTGCGTAGACAATGTTGACGAAAAGGCAGAAAGTAAGTCGGTGAAGACGCGGAGAGTAGCGAAAGCGTACACCTAGTAACTCATCATCGTCCTGCCTTTTGTGACACATGGAACGCAACTGCCGAGCGGGCAACAAGAAGCATTCGCTGCTGCGTTTCAATGCGCAAGCCGTAAATTGAAGTCGTGTTGACAGCATTGCCCTTTGCAAATAGTGCTGGACTGGTATCTTACAGTAGTCTACAGTTGCTTGCCGTTATATATACATATCATGTACATGATGTACAGCGCCCCGTCGTATCAACAACGAACGCATAGCAGTATTTGTCGCCACCTGTGATGCTACTAGCGCTTCTGTAATCTCAGCGAGCTCATAGTTGTAAGCTGGACATGGCTTTCTCAAGACGCTGCGGGGTGTTGATCTTAAGCATGTGCGAGCGGCCTTACTCCTCAGGAATGATTCGGTCCACAGCTACATCTTGGTTAGATTCTACCTCGGTGTTGTAATCGCATTGACATACCTTTGCCGTTCTCGAGCAAGTAACCCGAGCAGTCAATCTTCCACTCATCACCTCTCACCTTGACTTTCGCGATGCCAAACCTCAGCACCGCAAACTTGAACTTCAAAAAGAAGTTCGTCCACTTCTGATGCACCCACCGGGCAGAACCCTCCCATACACGCGCCGCAATGTTCATATGTCCCAAGTCATCCCAGAGCTTCTGGCGCTTGAACCGCTCTGCCTCAAGCAACTCTGCCACCATGGGCTCCGTCTTCTCGCTTATTGTCGCTTTCCCCAAATCCGTGTATATGATGCGCTCTTTCAGCCACGGTACCGGCTTGACAACCATACGCAATTGCATGGGCCCGCCCTGCAGACTGGGTAGGACTTCCAGTGCGCGCATGCGGTTGCTGGGCGCGGTGCAGATGTAGCAGCCGATGATGATGAAGCCCACTCCTACCACGACATAGGTCGGTCGGACGAAGAAGGATAGTCCATTGTCTTTGATGTCGTCATTGAACTTGATCGAGAATGCTCCAACACCGATCCATAGTGCTCCTGTTCCGTACACCTTCAGATAGTACCATTTGTTCTTGGGCGCTTGGTAGAGGAGGACTGGCTGGCGGGTTTGGACGACTTGGCGGAGGACGGGGTCGCTGCTCACGAATGAGCTGGGTTTTGGTGCGACCACATTGGTCTTGGGATATTGGTAGCGTCGGAGCACGGAGGATGTGAAGGAACGGTTCTGCCGTATCGTGCGTATCGTGGTGGGTGTGAAGAATGATTCCCGTGTTCCGAAGAGGGCGGCGCGGAGGGATGAGGGGAGGCGGAGGGTGTGTTGGCGCAGGAAGGCATCAAAGCCCCGGGAGAAGGCGGGCATTGTGAGTGCAGTGATACGGGGTTTCGATGCAGCGCTATACACCTTGCATACTCCAGCAAGTTAATGCGGCAGTACGTGGGCGTGGATGTCTTCGCGATATATCGGGAAAAAGTCCAGCTAGAAGCGGCCCAAGCGCGTCCCGCTCGACACCTCCGAAGCTTGTTCCGCCCAACATTTCCGCCAGCAGATCGGCACCGTCGCTCAACACCCTCCCACTGCCATTGTCTCCGCCCGTCAATTGATTTCCCATGGCTTCGCTCGCCGCGGTATGTAGGGTCTCGGCGCGGGCTGCCTCGCAGCAGTTGCGCAACCAAGGTGCTCGGAGAGGACTGCACTCAAGTCAGGCTTCGCTCGCTGTGCAAAGCTTCAACATGCCTGCGCTTTCACCCACCATGACCGAGGGCAACATTGCGAGCTGGAAGATCAAGGAGGGAGACTCTTTCTCCGCCGGCGACGTGCTGCTCGAGATCGAGACGGACAAGGCGCAGATGGACGTCGAAGCGCAGGATGACGGTATCCTGGCCAAGATCACTGTACGTGGGAAGATAAGTTGGCTTCAGGCCATGGCTAACACGAACTCCAGGTCCAAGACGGTTCCAAAGCAGTCCAGGTCGGCACACGGATAGCCGTTACAGCAGAGCCCGGCGACGACCTGTCCACCCTCGAGATACCCGCAGAAGAGAGCCCCGCGCCCAAGAAAGAAGCCGAAGCGCCCAAGGAGTCCAAGAAAGAGCCTGCGCCGGTACCAAAGGAGGAGCGAACCTCTGCCCCGCCTGCCAAATCCGATGCCTCAAAGAAAGCCTCCAGCGGCAAGGCCTCCAAGCAAACCTACCCGCTATACCCCTCCGTACAACACTTGCTCGAAGTCAACGGTCTGCCAAAGGAGGAGGCTGATAAGATCCCCGCGACTGGTCCTGGCGGCAGGCTGCTCAAGGGAGACGTACTCGCCTACGTTGGACAAATCGAGAACTCCTACCCTTCAGAGCTGGCGAGTCGCTTTACTAAGCTATCGCACCTCGATCTCTCCAACATCAAGCCCATGCCCAAGAAGGAAGCATCAAAGAAGCCAGCAGCCAAAGCACCAGCGGTTATCGAAGACCTCCCTATCGAGGTAGCACTACCCGTCTCCCTCACCGCAGTAATGGAATGCCAGAAGCGCGTCAAGGACTCAATAGGCGTCTTCCTTCCTCTATCCACATTCGTCGCGCGCGCAGCCGAGCTCGCCAACGAGGATCTGCCCCGCTCGAAGGTCGCAAAGCCAACCGCCGACGAGCTGTTCAACGCTGTGCTTGGTCTCGACAAGGTATCATCAAAGTACTCGCGGGGCAACTTCGTCCCAGAAGTCACCGCGCTGCCACCCACCACCATCCCCAGCAAGCGCACCCCAGCACCAAAGTCGGACATCCTCGACATGCTAGCCGGCAAGAAGACCTCCGCTAAGCCTGTTTCGGGCGCAGCAGGTGTCGCGGGTCCCCTCAACGTATTCAGTGTGAGCGTACCCAAGGGCGACGAGAAGCGCGGTCGCGTTTTTCTTGAGCGCGTCAAGTCGGTGCTTGAAGCCGAGCCAGGGCGATTGGTCGTTTAGGTGAAGATCATTGCGCGATTTGTATCATATTGCATCTCTACCTACCTGTTTGGAGGGTGGAGGTACCGGCAGGTAGCCATTCCCACCTCATGCCAGAAAAGAACTGAACAGGCCTAGAGCCTACATCGACGCCAGGTCACCTATCTTATAGGTTTTTATGTTGATGTAGGCTGCAGGCCTGTTCAGTTGTTTTTTTGGTTGACGTGTTCCCACTACACTTCCATGACGAATACCAAGTTTTAGACAAATGCTTCATCTATTTTCCCTCTCGTAAACCTTCTCCGTCTCCTTCTTTAGGTCACCCTTGTGCGTTACTTCCCAGCCAGAAGCTACCTATGCCCACGTGTACACCCTCCACATTTCCAACATATCCCGCGATTCGCTGTGCACATGGTGTTCTTGACGATCTCATCTTTTGCCGGCCTGGTGCGGAGGGTTTGTAGGTAAGGTGTCGGGGTAAAGTAAAATGCCGCAAAGCTACCGCGTCGCACCAATGCAAAATACCGCAGTTTACTTCGGCAGCTGCGCCTCGCTCTAGTCGTATACATAGGAAAGAATGCCCATGAAAAAAGAACTTTGAATGCACTCTCGATCTTTTGTACTTGCACATTCGTTCCTTCTGTATCTGATGCGAGCCGTCACGCCCGAAGCGGTTAGTGCGATGGGTCCCATGAAAGCCCGAGCGCCAGAAGGGAATTCCGTCGCTTGGACTCGGAGTGGTAGAAAGGATGTCACGCACTACGACTGCAAAGATGGAACAGGTGACATTTATGATGTGGTAATCTTCTTTATTATATCTAAGGATCGTAATGCACGTTGTCGTGGTCATGTCTAAGCATTCTATATGACTAACTTTTGTGCTAGGCAGGTATCATGCTCGCGAAGAGCAAGAAAACCTCCTCGCATACTCCTAGCAGGGCCTCCTCACCCTGCAATATCTCACTTTATACAGTTCCTCCATAGGTAAGGCTCTAAGCCTTCTCCTGCATGTTCTCGCTACCAGCGACAGAAGAGTCGCGGCTGTAGTAGCGACCAAAGGTACGGTCCTCGATGTCCATGTTCTTGTCGACCTTTCCATTGCCGTGCTTAGCAGCCATACGGCGGAAGTAGACGCGCTTGCACCACTTCCAGAGCTCGATACCGGCAAAGAAGATACCAGTCTCGACGAAGACGATGCCCCACTCCCAGTCGATGGGGGCGTGCTTGAACACAACCGTGTTGAGAACGGGGATGTAGATGAGTGGGAAGAGGAGGACGAAGCCGATCATAATGGCCCAGAAGAGGAACTGGTTCCTCCATACATCGAGCATCCACTGGGTGAAGTAGCGCTTGCTGCCGGGCTGCATGCGGAAGAAAGAACGACGCATGTCAATCATCTCCCAGGCGAGGAAGAGAGCGAACCATGTCAAACAGGCGAATGTGCAGGCGCGGGC